AAATTATATTTAACAGATATTATGGCAAGATGTGTATAAGAGACAGGATAAAACACATCTCCTCCATCCTCTAAGGACATGTCAGCATCAGCCCAGAAAGGTGCAATTATCTGTTCAGGAGTGTTTGGCTGGAAGCCGCCAATTATAGGATGAGGAAAGGCGAACTTGTCGTCATTGACTCTTGACAGTACTACAACTCCATTATCTGTAAACTAGTTAAACAAATTGTTTCCTAATTACTAATCGGTTCGTTTTCTATTTATTTCTATCCTGGTGGTCTATTAAAACACTTAATATCAAATATAACGTTGACGTCGAACGATATGAGTAGGACCGGAACCATAAGAACTTTTTTTCGGTTCCCTTCTTTAAGATGTACATATATTTTTCTACCAGAAAACTCGAGGGGCCAAAGTTTCTAGAAAATTCGGTAGTGCGCTTTAAGAATATTTTTTTTTCTAAAAAAGTTTATAAAATTATCATTTGTTAACATAACAGTAAGGCGATTACATACTTACATATATTCTATAATGGAATGTGCTTCCAAACGGAAAGCCGGTGAGTGGTTCGATGTTTGGTGAAATGACGTCACGACCAGAACCAACTTCCTGAATAAGACTATTGTCCCCTTGTTCGAGACCAAACGGCAATAACACGATTTCTAATAATTATTGAAATATTAAGAGAAAAGACTTTTATTTTTTAAGCTTACATTTTTTCTAAACTAATTTAGGAAAGTAATAAAAAGTCTATAACACACAAATAAATCACATTCAAAAGGCGTATTTAAAGTTTCTTTCACCATAATTGCACTTACGTGGTTTAAAGCATTCACATTATCAAATTTACATTATAAGTACTCTAACCACTCCAATATTAAGAATTAAATTAGGAAAGATAAACTTACCAACACATATCTGTCCATCTCCGCGATACCCTTCATTACAGGAACATGAGTATGAGCCTATTGTGTTTGTACATGACCCGGAAGGCAACAGAGCACATGTGTGCATATCACGTTCGCACTCGTCAATATCTGAAAAAAGATATTAATTTTGACGCTAGTTTAATTCAGGATATTTAAATAAACTTGGACGATTAAGATAGAAAAATGTCGCGCTAAGATATTCCCGACGAGGAGTGCGATATCTCCGACTGGGAAGGAGACTACCCGACGCAAGCATTTGGGCATGATCGGGAGTCGCTCAAAACTCTAGGAAGTGTAGAAATATGTAAAAATTATATTATTAATTATATATTTTTTCTTCTCCTTGACGAAGTTTGTTTTTCTCTTCTACGGTGGGCCTTCCCCCTCTCACTGGCACCACTCATGAATTTGGTGCTAGTCACTACGTTACGTGTACTTGGTACCATACATATCAGGTATGTGGTCAATCATTGGTCCTTGGGTTTTCGTTATGAAACAGAAGTCAATGTCACCAAGTGATGAAAAGTGTAATTTTTAGTAATAATTATTTTGAGTACATCCTTTTTGGTGACAGTGGCTTTGCCGCTTTTGTTATTCCTTAGCACTGATTTGGGCTTTTTTTTTTTGTTCTTGCAATTTGTTCTGTATTTTTGTTTTACTTCTTTTGTAATGTAATTTTGCATTTTCCTTATTAACAAAAAGAATATATATATATATATAAAAAAATCTGCCATTGTCAAACTTTTCTTTCCCATAGGTCAACCTTTTTTGCAGTTCATTGAAGAGTTTATATCCACGGTTCTCAACTTTGGGTCTACTGATCACTTGAGTCGGTAGGAGCCTTAAGGGGGTCAGTACATAATCAAGAGATCAGCAATAGAGGGTCAGTGAAGTGAATGGAATAAGTAACACAAGAAGGGGTCATTGGTGACTTTTCAACAAAGAGCCTTCAAAACTAAAAAACATCTTTGGCTCTACCATTATTTCTTATTTACTATAAGTATATCTACCATTTAGAATTATTAAGATATACCGAAAATTACAAACCTTCACACGAAGTCCCATTGCCTTCATATCCAGAGTTACATTTGCATGCATATGAGCCTATCATGTTAATACACATAGCATTGAAAGAACAATCGTCACTTTTTTCCATACATTCATTAATGTCTGAAATCAAATTAAAATAAATACTAGTTATTTGTCAAATATACTTTTTATCATTTAAGTTTGAATACATGTGTATTATCAAGTTACCTCTGCACGTGATTGTAGAAGCGTTGTACTGTCCATCCTCACATAACGCAGTAAGAGTACTAGTTGCATCTGGTCTGAATCCACCTTCACAACTGAAATTGATGCTTCCACCATGAACGGTTGACCCCGATACATACCCATGCAAAGGAGGAGTTGGCAAAATGCAGCTTTCTATGAACAAATAAATACAGGAAACAATAAATGTTGTATTCGATAAGTAAACCTATGAATATGCATTTCGTATTTAAATATAAGTATTGTAATAATAAAAAATATTAATAAATATTTAAAATAATAATAATAATAAATATATATATATAAATAAATAAATAAATAAATATATCTAGATGTGTATAAGAGACAGTATAATGTGTAGGAAAATGACTCAATTAGATCATCATCTTCTGGAGAGTCAGGTATTGCACACTTTCCTATTGCATATAAATTGAGAGATTTTAAGCTGTCTTTGTTATGATGATGAAATTAGAAAGAATATATAAAATTATTAAATAAAATAATAAAATATATAATAATAATTATTATATTAATAGAAATTATAATATAATAACATCGACGACGGTGACGACGGCGAAGATGACGACGGTGAAGGTGACGGCGGTTATTACGATGGTGACGTCGACGACGACAATAATAATAATAATAATAATAATAATAATAATAATATTAATAATATTAATTATATTACAATCATTAACAATGTACGGCATGCTCTCTGCATGCTTTCATACTCATCTATGAATATAGAGTTAACGTAGAACAGACAAATATAATATACTGTAGTTCGAAGGCGCGGCAACCACTGTATCAACCACCTCAACCTACCATGACAGGTCGGAATGTCCAAAAATGTTCCATTAATGCAGGTACTTGATTCGAATCCTTGCAAAGTGTATCCGTTGTCACAAACGAAGAAAACAGTCGTTCCGTTCCGATAGAATGTGTAGGCAAATGACTCAATTAGATCACCATTTTCTGGAGGGTCAGGTACTGGACACTTTCCTATCAAATATAAATTGAGGGATTTTAAACTCTCCTTGTTATGATGATGAAATTAGAAAGAAATTTGTATCACTTTCCTTTCAGAAAAATTCATCTACAATTGTTTACAATTGATTAATTTTATTAAGAAAAAATAAAGAATATTATTCCACTGATGAAGTTCGTTATCCATAATACAGTTATATTTATTGAATTATTTCTTTTGATCTAGCCGCATCAAGGAAAGAAAGATGAAAAGAAAAATATACACAAATATCCGATTCATTGATATTTTGCTTTAAAAAAAATTATATATAGAAGATGTACAACTCATATTAGTATTAATGCAATGTAAAAGTATACTAGAACAAATAATACAATTTACCTTCACAAAGTTCTGGAGATTCGTCATAGTTATCGAGACAATCATAGGGATATTCGTCGCATGTGTATTCATCATATATACATGAGCCAAATGGACATCCAAAGTATGTGGATGGGCACGTAACTGGAATAATATCAATTCGTATAAATTAAATACTTACACTTACAAAACCGGTGTGGTGGGTTCAAAAACAAGTTCTGAATTAGGCTATGCCTTAGCGAAGTTAGCCTTTAAACGTGGCTTAAAAAAAATGGGGCAAACTGCATGGAGCCTTGTGTTAAAATCCTCCACGCTGTAGCATACATTTCTTGTTTTACCCATTGGGAGTAAATGAACATAATTTGAAATCAAATAATGTATAAAATATATTACTGCATGTGGAATATTAGCTGAAATGCCTCATTTAACTTAAGTAAAACTGATCACTATCGAAACAGTATACAAGGCTTCAAAAATCTATATATACGTTATATGTAAATCAAAGGAAAAACGTAACGAAAAACGGGCACGTAACTGGAATAATATCAATTCGTATAAATTAAATACTTACACTTACAAAACCGGTGTGATGGGTTCAAAAACAAGTTCTGAATTAGGCTATGCCTTAGCGAAGTTAGCCTTTAAACGTGGCTTTAAAAAAAATGGGACAAAACTGCATGGAGCCTTGTGTTAAAATCCTCCACGCTGTAGCTTACATTTCTTGTTTTATCCATTGGGAGTAAATGAACATAATTTGAAATCAAATAATTTATAAAATATATTACTGCATGCTGAATATTAGCTGAAATGCCTCATTTAACTTAAGTAAAACTGATCACTATCGAAATAGTATAAAAGGCTTCAAAAATCTATAGATACGTTATATGTAAATCAAAGGAAAAACTAATTAATTGTTATTATGCTTCTTTTGGTTTATCATTATAATAATCACGGTTTTGAACAGTAGGTGTGATTTCGTCAAGCAAATATAAATAGCGTCTGGTTAATAACTACGGTAATCATTATTTTACCACATGTGTACATTTACAGTAATATTACTCACCATACATTTAAGCACCTTTAATTATGAGCTATGTTACGTTTATTATTCTCTTTTGGGTTATAATTATTAGTATAATTTACATACACTTCCTTAATCAGGTTATGTTTAGTACATATATTTCTTAGCACCTGTGTAGGGCTATAAGATATGTCTTGTACAACTGTTCAACCAATAAATGTAAATACATTACTGTTGCATGTTTCAGCAGATTCGTCATAGAGGTTCTCACAATCCGGGAATCCATCACACAGAAATAACTTATCGATACACATGTCTGATTCACCGCACTGAATTTCAAAATCAGAACAATCTGAAACAAATACCATCGAATATGTATGATACAGTATATTAATTTAGTTTATAGCATATATAATTCGCTTTGCAGCATGACTTGAATAAAACATGATTTTAGTTGATAGAAAATCCTTGTAAATTAGCAGACACGTCTTTACTGAATACCGTTTATTTTTGTTTTAGCAGTTTAAAGTTTATTTAGCCTAAATAATTGTCGCCTTACAAAATATGCAAGTACCGCCAAATAATTAAAGATTAAAATTGCTAGAGCCACACCGAGTGTTGGCCTATTACAGGGTAAAGTGTAAGCTTGCCACAGCAATTACATTAAACTTCACATACTGTAATCATTTTCGTAATACAAAATTTAGAAGTAATTAATCAACATATATACATATAATATAGAAGACATCAAGATAGGTAGAAGACAAAATAAAGCTGAAATGTTATCCTAATTTGCAAAGTAAATAAGGACATAATCACAATAATATATGATTCAAGTTTTTAAATTTGGCAACTGCAATAATGTCTATAAAGCATATTCAGTACTGATAAACTAACCTAAATACCATTGAGATTAACAATTACGCAGGAAATTACTATACAAGTATAAATCAAATATCAATAATAACAATTACAAAAATAAAATAAAACCAATTACCAAATAAAATATAGAAATATATACATTTTACACCCTACCGTTAAGAATTTACATAATTAATGTTTGAGGAGTTTTAAACAAGATTAACAGTTTATTAGTAAACTTATCATTACATTATTACTATAAGCAACGTTATAATAATAATAATAATAATAATAATAATAATAATAATAATAATAATTATTATTATTATCATTATATTTGTAGACACTATAATCAGCATCTTAATTTGTATATCAGTAAAAGCGTTATCATGCTCACCACCATCATCATCATCATCATCATCATCTTTTAAATCCTCATCAAATCATCAAAAGCAGTATCAACATCATCGTAAGCCCAGGGCCTCAATTCGAGGTTTTACGGTATATCTAATAATAATCATTGAGTATTAAAACATAATTTGAACACAATATTTACTAACACATCCCATCAAGTAAAAGCTTTTGTATCGGTAATTCGAAGTAGATAATATTATCAACAATTATATTGGCCTGCAGACACGAATATGTTCGTATTATTAAACAATTTGTACACATCATGGTGCATATCATTATCATATCTAATTATAATCCCAATTTTAATAATAATCATTGAGTATTAAATAATATGAACATAAATTTTAACACATCACATCAAAATACCATTTTTTTAACATCACCATTGTCTTTGTCGTCATCATCATTAACAACATCATCATTAATTTAATTCCTATTTATTGATAAACTTATAAAATACATAACTAATAATGAGCCAAGAACGTACCTGCAGTTGTCACTGATGTTGTCGGTGGTGGTGCTGTTGTTGTAGGTTCTGTTTATGTATAAAAATATTTGACGTTTACTTTTACTCATATAAACATTAAACTAATTAAATAAGTACAAATGGAAAAATATCGTTCACAATGAAAGTTAGAAAATAAAATATTTTTTCTTAGTTGGTATTGAAAACCTTTCAAATCACATCAACTAATAGTTGTCACCGATGCCATCGGTGCTGCCGCTGTGGAAGATTCTGTAGAGTTATACAATTTTAAAAATATCAGACACCACACATCATGTAAGCATATATATTTTAGGTTATAATAAGGATTAATTAAACAATTTTAAAAAGAAATATTTATTTTTTATGAGTCAAGTACCTACCTTCAGTTGTTACTGATGTTGACGGTTGTGCTGCTGTGGTAGGTTCTATAGAGTTATAAAATTAAACTATAACATAAAACACTAGTCGTGTAAGCATTAATATTTCAAATAATATTGATAAAAAATATATTTATTTTAAAAATATATATTTCTTTATGAGTCAAAAACCTACCTTCAGTTGTCACTGATGTTGTAGGTTGTGGTGGTGGTGCTGTAGTAGGTTCTGCAAAAATAATAACAAAATCCCAAAATATACATATTAATCACTACTCGTATAGGCATTTAAATTTCAGCTGATATTTATAATTAATCTTACAATTTCGGTATGAGTCAAAAACCTACCCTCAATTGTCACTGATGTTGTTGGTGTAACTGCTGTGGTAGGCTCTGTAAAGTTATACAATTTTAAAATATCATACACAACTTATCGTGTAAGCATTGATGTTTTATGTAACAATGACAAATATTACAAAAATATAAAAAGAAAATTGTAATTCTCTATGAGTGAAGTATCTACCCTCAGTTGTTACTGATGTTGTGGGTAGTCCTGCTGTAGGTTCTGTATAGGTTACAAAAGTTATTTATTGACTTATATTAACATTTTACAGTTATTAATTAAATAAATCAATTAAAGTAGAAATGGTAAAATATCTTTCAAAAATGAAATTAAAATATTTACTTTCAAGTTATTAATAACCTTTTAAAATAGATAAACTAATAATGAGTAAAGAACGTGCCTTCAGTTGTCACTGATGTTGTTAGTGGTGATGCTGTTGTTTTAGGTTCTGTATGATATGTATAAAATATGTGACTTTTGTACTCATATGCACATTAAATTGTTACTAATTAAATAATACATTTCAAATACAAATGGAAAAACATCGTTCACAATGAAAGCTAAAAAATTAAAATATTTATATCATTACTATTATAGATAACCTTTCAAATCACAAAAATTAATATTGAGTCAAGACCTTACCCTCAGTTGTCACTGATGTTGTAGGTGGTGCTGCTTTGGTAGGTTCAATAGTAATAAAAAAACAAATACTATATCATAATTAATAATCGTGTAAGCATTTCAGTTTAAGCTAATACGTACTGGTAATTTATATTAAAATATTTATTTCGGCATGAGTCAAAAACATACCCTCAGTTGTCACTGATGTCGTAGGTGGTGCCGCCGTGGTAGGTTCTGTACAAATAAAATAATAAACTATATCATGATCAAAACCTTTTACTATTATAGATAACCTTTCAAATCACAAAAATTAATATTGAGTCAAGACCTTACCCTCAGTTGTCACTGATGTTGTAGGTGGTGCTGCTTTGGTAGGTTCAATAGTAATAAAAAGACAAATACTACATCATAATTAATAATCGTGTAAGCATTTCAGTTTAAGCTAATACGTACTGGTAATTTATATTAAAATATTTATTTCGGCATGAGTCAAAAACATACCCTCAGTTGTCACTGATGTCGTAGGTGGTGCCGCCGTGGTAGGTTCTGTACAAATAAAATAATAAACTATATCATGATCAAAACTCTAAGCTATTAAATTTAAGCTAATGTTTATAGTTAATCATAAATATTTATTTTGGCATGAGTCAAAACCTACCCTCAGTTGTCACTGACGTTGTCGGTTGTGCCGCTGTGGTAGATTCTGTAGAGTATAAAATTAAAAGATAACCTTTAAAAATACATAAACTAATTATGAGTCAAAAACCCACCCTCAGTTGTAACTGATGTTGTAGGTGGTGATTCTGTGGTAGGTTCTATAGAAATAAAAAATTAAATTATATCGTAACCACTACTCTATGCATTTAAATTTCAGATAATATTGTTAATTAATCTTAAAATATTTAATTTGGTATGAGTCAAGAACCTACCTTCAGTTGTCACTAATGTTGTCGGCTGTACTGATGTGGTAGGTTCTGCAGAGTTATAAAATTAAACTATATCGTAAAACATTAGTTGTGCAAGCATTAATATTTCACCTAATAATGATAATCATTTTTGTTAAATTATGTTTTTATGAGTCAATAACCTACCTTCAGTTGTCACTAAGGTTGTAGGTGGTGCTGCTGTGGTAGGTTCTGTAGAAATAAAAAAAAATGCTATAGTATAATTACTACTCGTGTAAGCATTTCAATTTCAGCAAATACTGAAAAATTAATTTTAAAATATTTATTTCGGTATGAGTCAAAAACCTAACGTCTGTTGTCACTGATGTTGTCGGTTGTGCCGCTGTGGTAGATTCTGTAGAATTATAAAATTAAAAATATCATAAACCACCTATCATGAAGTAGAAATAGTAAATCATCGTTCAACAATGAAATTGAAAAATGAAATATTTTGCTCTTAGTCATTATTGATAACCTTTAAAAGGACATAAACAAATAATGAGTTAAAAACCTACCCTCAGTTGTCACTGACGTTGTAGGTTGTGCTGCTGTGGTAGGTTCTGTAAAGTTATAAAATTAAAAATATATAATTAAAACACTTATCATGTACAGTAAGCATATATATATTAGATAATAATGACGAATATTTAAGAAATAGAAAAATATTTTTTTTTTCTATGAGTCATGTACCTACCCTCAGTTGTCACTGATGTTGTCGGTTGTGCTGCTGTGGTAGATTCTGTAGAATTATGAAATTAAAAATATCATAAACCACTTATCATGTAAGCATATATATAGGCCTATATATATATATATCACCTTTATTCTTTTTTGATAAGACAGCCTATATTATATTGATTCATGATGTTTTCCTCATTCTCGCTGATGAAGGCCACAGGAGTGGCAGAAATATCCGAGTTTATAATAAATCAGTGTTCTTAAAGTCTACTACTGAAGCTGTCTCTTATACACATCTAGATGTGTATAAGAGACAGGATAAAGGAGGAGCCACGACCATCATGAGCCAAACCAGTTATATCGAAGAAGCCAATGAACAATTATCGAACACTACATTTTATAAGAAATTAGATAAGGACCATACTGTTGATTTTAAACGTGAACTTTTGAACATGACAATAGGGTTATCTATTCATACAGTGACAATGTTAAAAAGTTGAGTCAAAATGTAATTTTTTTTTTTGTTAGGCAAAGTGAGATAGCCTGAAACAAACACTATTCCATTGAAAGTTTGAAGTTTTTCGGAAAAGTACTCCAAATATGGCGGAAAGTCAAAAATTTTCACTATGTGCTCAACTTTGCGAGATAAGCACTTTTGTGCAAAAAGTGACAATGTTAAAAAGTTGAGTCAAACTGTAATTTTTTTTTGTTAGGCAAAGTGAGATAGCCTGAAACAAACACTATTCCATTGAAAGTTTGAAGTTTTTCGGAAAAGTACTCGAAATATAATAATAATGTCGTTCTTATATAGCGCCTAATGCCTTAACAAAGCCTCTAAGCGCTTCACATTATTACCCCGGTCACTGGATCAAACACATATGGAACACATTAAACACTAAATGAAATTATTAAATTAAATTATATCTCCATAATATGTCTCTTATACACATCTAGATGTGTATAAGAGACAGATTTGTGCGCGGGGGCGCGACTGGATGGAGAGGGGCAACCGTAGATAAAGTGCCTTGCCCAAGGACACAAGCGATTTGCACAGCGAGAGTTTCGAACCCCCGACCCCGAGGTTGGGAGTCCAAGCCACAACCGATGCGCCAACCACTTCTACGGCGGAAAGTCAAAAATTTGCACTAAGTGCTCAACTCGGCGAGATAAGCGCTTTTGTGCAAAAAGTGACACTATTCCATTGAAAGTTTGAAGTTTAGGAAAAGTACTCGAAATATGGCGGAAAGTCTAAAATTTGCACTAAGTGCTCAACTCGGCTAGATAAGCACTTTTGTGCAAAAAGTGACAATGTTAAAAAGTTGAGTCAAAATGTACTTTTTTTTTGTTATGCACGGTGAGATAGCCTGAAACAAACACTATTCCATTGAAAGTTTGAAGTTTTTCGGAAAAGTACTCGAAATATGGCGGAAAGTCAATAAATTTGCACTAAGTGCTCAACTCGGCGAGATAAGCACTTTTGTGCAAAAAGAAAAATGTTAAAAAGTTGAGTCAAAATGTAATTTTTTTTTTGTTAGGCAAAGTGAGATAGCCTGAAACAAACACTATTCCATTGAAAGTTTGAAGTGTTTCGGAAAAGTACTCGAAATATGGCGGAAAGTCAAAAATGTGCACTAAGTGCTCAACTCGGCGAGATAAGCACTTTTGTGCAAAAAGTGACTATGTTAAAAAGTTGAGTCAAAATGTAATTTTATTTTGTTAGGCAAAGTGAGATAGCCTGAAATAAACACTATTCCATTGAAAGTTTGAAGTGTTTCGGAAAAGTACTCGAAATATGGCGGAAAGTCAAAAATTTGCACTAAGTGCTCAACTCGGCGAGATAAGAACTTTTGTGCAAAAAGTGACAATGTTAAAAAGTTGAGTCAAAATGTAATTTTTTTTTTTTTTTTTTTTGTTAGGCAAAGGAAGATAGCCTGAAACAAACACTATTCCATTGAAAGTTTGAAGTTTTTCGGAAAAGTACTCGAAATATGGCGGAAATTAAAAAAATTTGCACTAAGTGCTAAACTCGGCAAGATAAGCATTTTTGTGCAAAAAGTGACAATGTTAAAAAGTTGAGTCAAAATGTAATTTTTTTTTGTTAGGCAAAGTGAGATAGCCTGAAATAAATACTATTCCATTGAAAGTTTGAAGTTTTTCTGAAAAGTACTTGAAATATGGCGGAAGGTCAAAAAAATTGCACTAAGTGCTCAACACGGCGAGATAAGCACTTTTGTGCAAAAAGTGACAATGTTAAAAAGTTGAGTCAAAATGTAATTTTTTATTGTTAGGCAAAGTGAGATAGCCTGAAACAAACACTATTCCATTAAAGTTGTTAAAAAGTTGAGTCTAAAAAAGCTCTATGTTTGCACAGTAACTAAAAAACTAAAAAAAAAATGCAAGTGTTGATTGAAAATTTATAGGATTACTGAACGTTGATTATTGAACATTTGATTAGAACCACGAGTCCAATTCAGCGATTGGAAAACGTTTTGGACTTTCGAAGTCTACGGTAGCGACCATATGGAAAAACAGGGAGAAAATACAAAGACACATTTCAGTAAACGAAAACTTTGCTAAAGCAAGAAAATCTTCGTATGTGAAAACACCAATATTCGATAAAGTAGACGCGGCTATGTACACGTGGATGGAGCAGCAGAGGGCTAAGGGAGTGTCTGTTCAGAGACCGTTCTTAAGAGAGAAGGCTTTGTTCTTTGCCGAACAATTTTACCCTGGCCAAAACTTTCTGGCTAGCGGTGGATGGTTAAATAATTTCAAAGCGCAACATGGAATTCGATGGACGACACTTCAAGGGGAATCACTATCAGCTGATGTTAACTCGATTGACCCGTACAAAACCAAACTTGAAAGCATCATTGAGGAAAATCAGTTGACCAGATATCAAATTTTTAACACCGATGAGACAGGTCTTTGGTGGCGGCTAATGCCTAATCGTTCGTTGGTTTTACGAAACGAAAAAAATGCGAAAAACTTTAAAAAATTAAAGGACAGGGTAACATCATGGGCTGTGCCAATGCCTCAGGGACGTGCAAATTGCCTCTCTTATTCATACACAAATCGAAGCGACCAAGATGCTATAAAAATGAAGAATTGTCTGGTTTGCCGGTTACATATTAAAGCAAACATTCGGCATTAATGGATGCTGTAGAACATTTTATTAATTTGAAGCACGCCCTCTCGGTGCGTTACCCATCTCATACATGTATGTCGGTCAGTACCTCAATAAACAATCCTAGTAATCTATGAAGTGCCTCAGGCTGGTCATTAACTTACATGGTGTCAGAAGTTGAGGAAAATAATCAACTTTTAGTGGATT